ATTTCGATTATAACAACCAACCGCCGACATCAGCTACAAATGATTCAAGAAAAACTCGAACAAAAAGGTATCATCTACCTTCACTTGCGTTGGCATGTGAAAGAACGGGTGTATCTGACAGAGCGGCAGCCATCATAGCGAGTGCTACATTAGAAGACATGGGCCTTATTTCTAAAGAAAACAAAGAAAATGTTATTGACAGGATGACTCTCAGAAGGCAAAGACAAAAGAGACGAAATAAGCTGAAAGATGGTGAAAGAAGACAAAGTTTAATTTTGGAAGGATTGTATTTCGACGGACGAAAAGACCAAACAATGAGTCACCAAAAGAAGGGGAAGAAAAACTATCGAAAAATAATCAAAGAGGAACATGTCGTATTAGTACAGGAACCAGGTACAAAGTATATTGGCCATATATCCAATTGAAAGCGACGGAAATGCAGTTAACACAGGACGCAAAGGTGGAATCATTAGAATACTTGAATCCCGGCTAAGAAAACCTTTACAATGGCTAATTTGCTTACTTCATGCCAATGAGCTCCCATTAAGACACTTATTTCAACAATTAGATGGAACTACTACAGGTCCTAGAGGATTTGTTGGCCCAATAGGAAAGCAGCTTGAACACTGTGAGGAGATGGAGGTTGTACGATATGAAAGAATTAAAATGCAATTACCAGAAGTTGATTTTAAAGATATTAGTACAGATCAAAAGTACTTATATGAAATATCTCAAGCAGTGTCAAGCGGCGTATTTCCAGCAGACATTGCCTAGAAAAACCCTGGAAAAATGGCACATTCCCGTTGGTTGACGACTGCCAATAGAATATTGCGTTTTTATGTGTCTTGTGAAAATCCCTGCAATAATTTAAAAGTTGTTGCAAATTATGTTGCTAAAGTTTATGCTCCCATGTGGTTTAACATAAAAATGAAACCAAGGATGGATCTAAACACTTGTGGCAGTTAATAAGTTATTCTAGATATCTCGAGGAGGAGCATCTAAAGATCATTGATCCAGTTCTTCAGCGGAATTCATTTTTTGGGCACCATGAAAATATCCTCCTGGCCATGCTTACCGACCCTCGCAGACATATTCAAGAACTTGGTCTTAGACGAATTATGAAGGCAAGGTCCAAACCACAAACCAAAACTGTTCGACAGTTCGAAGTCCTACAATCAACTTTAAAGCAGCTGACTACGTAGAATTGATTGATTGGAGCTATTGTCAACTAACGTAACCTCCTGTGTTGTCTAATTTGACAAACGAGGAAATAAACAACATGGTTAAAACAGGAGAGACACCTGTTATTGATTTCCCACGTTTCCCTTGTCATTCTCAGTCAGTGGAACGATGTGTGAAAATTGTCACTGAAGCTGCTGCAGCTGTGTCAGGAGCAGAAGCTAGAAATGGTTTCATCTTGGCAAAATTAGTGTCCCGTAATATAATGCCAGTGTTTAATACAAAGAAAGACTATAAAACCAATAGGTAAAAAAAATGTTTTATTTTTGGTGTCTCAGCGGCACCGGAAAATCATGTTGTAGATTTAATTTTCTGATAATATATGCTTAAGAAAGTAAAAAGGAAAATACTTTTTACTATTACACTTCAATATATATAAAACAAAATTCTACCTATGTTTTTAAGTTCCACCCTAATAAACATCCAATGATTTAAAAACAATAAGAAGATATTAAAAATTGAGAACAAAATCGTTTCGGTTTTGATGCTCGTGTTATACTATTCGCTCAATGAAAACAGAGATGACTTTTTGACGCAGTAGGGGCAAAATTGGATTTCGGGTATATTTCTATTTGATTCGCAGAAGGTGCAATTTTAAATTTAGGAATATTAAAAATTAACTTTTACAGACCAATTTTTGTTCTAAAATTAAAAATAGTTTTTAAGATTTATGATTGTTTCATTTAGTGTATCTGCTTATTTTATGTTTAGGTAATTTACCAAGGGGCGCAATTTCGATGCTCGCCCTATGCGCTATTTTCGATTGATACGCCCCTGCTTAGATAGATCATGTAAAAAAAGTTGTGTTTTGATAAATTCAATTATAATTTGTGGTTATAACCACTTATACTTTGTAATTACACACTTACAACACAATTAATGTATATAATGTTATAAGTGTGTAGTTACAAGGTAGGTATGAAAGATAGAGTCGTATGATTAATTGAATACAAGTCCAAAAGTTCAATTTTTTTTTTAAATAAAATCAGTTTTATAGTTCAAAATGAGTTTTTGTGAAAAAATATAATCTATTTTACCGCATATAATTATTTTCGTAAAATAGTTAAGGTATTCTATCAAACATGCATTTTGAACAAAATAACCGGTTAATTAATTAATAAAAAAATATTAATGTCAAAATTTGAACTTTTGGACTCGTATATTGTATATTGTTATATTGTTATTAGGTTATAATTATAACCTAATAACAATATAACTATAGGTTATAACCTATAGTATCTTCATTTATTAAATAAAATTAACGTTAAATAACAGTAGACCGTGGCAGCAAATTCAGCAGTGCAAATTTAGTAAAAATAAAACGTAATACCTACTTTATTACAAATTAAAGTATCATTAAAAACTAAAAACATCATAAAAAAATTAAGTTACGATGTAAATTGTTAATTTCTTGTTATAATGGCAAAATTATAATTTGGATATAATTATAATTATATCCTAAATTATAATTTTGCCATTTGAAACTATCATATTTTTGTTTTTTTTTTAAGTTGGCAGCACGAAATTAGAAATTTTAAAAAGGGCTAAAAGTATTTTTTTTAGTTTTTCATAAAAAATATAATCATATATTATATCACGAGAACTATGAATTTAATCGGTTAAACTAGGCTCAGTAGTTTTTTGTTTGGTTTTTCTTGGAAAATGTTGAATGCAAAATAATTTAATAAAATCACGACACCGCGTAGCGATCAAGGGGTTTTATTTTTAATTATTTTGCATGAAACTATTTTCCAAAAAGAAAAATCAAATAAAAAACTTACTGAGCATATATGCTATAACTATAGTTTGACAGATTAAATTTATAGGTTGAGTGATATACGTCTAGATTATTTCTCGAATTAAAGGAAACTATTTGACAATTCATAAAATCTGACGTATGTGTCAAAATTTATAAATACTTTTTTAAAGAAAATTCCATTAATTTAAGGTATGTAATAAGTAATAATTGATATTTCGTAAACTAGATAACTTATTTTTTATTGTTTTTTAAAAAATGTTTGTTAAAACTTGTAAATAACACTATAAAATCGTAAACAAAAATCCAATATGGAGGCTAAAATTTAATCCATGCAGCGATTAAATTTTAGCGCGCTGTTAAATAGTTCTAGTGATTTAATCGCTTATTTAAACGAAATTTATTCGAAAATTCAAGGCTTTTGATTGGTTCATATTATAATGAGGGAAATAATCTCATAAATAATTTCTAAACCATCAACTGATCGTGTTGTGTGATTTGGTTGCTTGAGTTAAAAAATTTTGAAAGAATTCATGGAAAATAACACCTGTGCAGAAGTGATATTTCCCGCAGCAATTTTTTGCCAAGTTTTATTAATTATTTATTAATTTTTACGGTGACGGAGAGATCGTGGCGTAATAACTGAGAAATATAAATGTTGTACGTCGCACGTCGCTGGCTGCGTATCGAGCATCTAGTACACCGCAATCGGGTAACGTCGTATTAACCGAGATCTGTCTTAAAACGAGGTCTGTCTTAAAACGAGGAAATGTCCTGAACCCCCTAAAAATGCAAAAAATAAAACCCAACCCAACCTAACCCCCTTCCCCACCCCCACAAAAAAATTGACAAAATATGTTTCCACATAAAAAAGGTACTCTTCTCCATTTTTGAATTTAAAAAATGTCAAATTTTAAAAAATTCTGTATTTTTTTTAATATAATAACTTTAACTAAAAATATTATTAATAAAAATACATAGGTATATGTATCCCGAAAATACATTATTTTATCTTAAACCGTTACGGAAATAATAAAAACCTTTTTTAGGGTCGCCCCGGGCCTTTAAGAGGTTGTAACACCGTAATATTTGGTTGTAGGTCCCTTAGGGGCCATTTGCGAACCTATGACCTGTCTATTATAATAGACATGCAATTTGTTTCGGGCATACTAAAAATCACTGCAACACTGCACAGAGTTTAACGGCGGCTATTTTTGTTGTTTACAATTTTTGTCCTTTAACACAATTGTGTTTGTGCTGGTTAATAATCGTTTCAAACGTTGTGTTTCTTACAGAGGCACTTGTAAGCCTCATGGGCCTTAAAGTGCTAAGGAGTTCTTAGTAAGGACAACCATGTTACTCATCTTTTGTAAAAAACAAACCTTATTCCATCAGGGCACAAATTAAAATTGTAAACAATAAAAATGGCCGCCGTTAAACTCTGTGCAGTGTAGCAGTGATTTTTAGTATGCGCGAAACGAGATACAACAGACCTTGTTGTGTGGATTGTGTTTTTTATATTTCATCCATATTTTTTTTAATTTTAATTTTTTCGTTATTACAGAATAAAAACTTCATACCTCGCTTATTATTAGACGTAAAACCATCCATTTAAATGATAAAAGACCCTTTTTGTAAAGCATCGGAATTTTTTTTTTAATTGTTTTTAGTCTGTAAAAAATAATTTTTGAAAATAATGGACACCCTAATGTTCATAATTTGAACTTCATATAAAGTTTTCTTCACATTTTTGGCCCTAAAACCGCTTAACACACTATTTTCGGGACAACCTGTATAGATATATCTAATCCGTCCCTGTCAAATTGCAATAGAAATTGATTTTAGGTAAAAACTAATGAAAAGAGTAAATAATGCAAGCAATGCCAATCGTTTTACTAACAAATATATTAAGAACGCTCATCTCGTTTGACCTTAACAGTAACCCATAACGATAAACGATTTTGATTGTTTCTATTCACGAGTGGAAACACAGTCTTTGTTGCAGTAAATACAAAACAAGTCGTGTAATCGCGTTGTCCAAAAATGGCTTTGACTGAACCGCTTTTACCCACCACGTATGAATATTACACCGGCGGTGGTATAGAAAATGGACTGTCCGCGAAAAAACCCTATTTCACATTGAATGACCGAAACATTTCGATATACAGCGGGGCCATGCATTATTTTCGAGTGCCCAAGGCGTACTGGAGGGATAGACTGAGAAAGCTCAGGGCTGCAGGGTTAAACACGGTGGAAACGTATGTGCCTTGGAACCTCCACGAGCCAGAATCAGGCGTCTATGATTTTGGCGAAGGTGGATCAGACTGGCAGGACTTTTTAAACGTGGCAGAATTTCTTAAGACAGCACAGGAAGAGGATTTATTAGCTATAATTCGTCCAGGGCCGTATATTTGTGCTGAGTGGGAGTTTGGTGGGTTTCCAAGCTGGATCTTGCGCGACAGAGGCATAAAAGTGCGTACCTCTGAGGCTACGTACATGAAATATGTGAAAAGGTATTTTAACATGTTGCTACCGATTTTGGCAATGCTGCAATTTACCAAAGGTGGACCCATAATAGCCTTCCAAGTTGAGAATGAATACGGAAGTACCCAGAGAAAAAACAAATTTGTCCCTGATAAGGAATATTTACGAGAATTGAGGAAAATAATGTTGGATAATGGTATAAAAGAGTTACTGTTTACAGCTGACAGTCCTTCGATGTCGGGAACAGCTGGTACTATACCAGATTTGTTTTTACAAACTGCCAACTTCGGGGGTAACCCAGATGTAGATTTTAACAAGTTAAAACAACTCCAACCTGGTAAACCTATAATGGCGATGGAATTTTGGACCGGTTGGTTTGATCACTGGTCCGAATCCCATCATCTTCGTAATAACGACGATTTTTACAAGGTTTACAAAAGAATATTGGAATATCCTGGCTCGGTAAATATGTACATGTTTCATGGTGGAACAAGCTTTGGATTTTTGAATGGAGCCAACTTAGCCAATAGATACAACGATAATTCTGGTTTGCAACCGGACACAACAAGCTACGATTATGATGCTCCACTATCAGAAGCTGGAGATTACACTTTAAAGTACGTTTTTGTAAAGGAGTTACTTGCGACGCATAACCCGGTAAAAACTAGAATCCCGCAAACGCCCGCGTTAATACAAAGAATAGCCTATCCAGCCATACCTATCGAGGGACAGTTTTTATTGGAAGACATACTACAACGTGCTCCACAAAAATTATCCAGCACTAATGTTTTACCGATGGAAATGCTACCTATTAATAACAGGTCTGGCCAAAGCTATGGTTACATAATTTACCGAAAAAAACTGAACTTGGAACCTAATTCTGTTCTAAAAATAGCTGGAAGAGTATCAGACTCTGTGGTAGTGATGGTGGATGGCATGCTACTATCCAAACCATTATACGACGCGAAGGATCTAGACGGTTTTGGATTTTGGCGTCTTAAGGATTCAACTATAACAATAAGCACGCAATATATAGCAAACGCTACTCTGGACCTAATTGTGGAAAACTGGGGCAGAAACGGCTACGGTTATTTAGAGCAATTCAACCAATACAAAGGCCTCTGGCAAGGCGGTATATACGTAAACGACGAAGAATTATTCGAATGGGAAATCGTTCCTTTGGAGTTTAAAAAAGGTTGGACGAATTCTTTGACGAATTGGCGCGCGCCAGTTAAAATATGGGCGCCAGGGCCTTCAATGTATAAAACTACGTTGAACCTTACCAATCCCCGAGACACCTATATAAATATGCAGGAGTGGACAAAGGGGATTGTTATTGTCAACGGGTTCGTCCTGGGTCGATATTCTAGGATTGGCCCGCAGCAAGCCTTATATTTGCCGGCGCCGTTTTTGAAAAATGGTGAAAATTCCATTGTAGTATTTGAACATTACATACCTGCAGATCGTGTCACTTTTTCCAAAGATCCTATATTTGGTAATTAGGTGATATAAGACAGGTTACACTGTTTGTGTTGCATAATATAATTTAAACTAAACAGGTATTTTTAATTGGCTTATTGGATGAACATGTTAAGTGATTTTGGTGTCAAACAAACACATTTTTTCCTTAACCCCCTAAATCTCATGCACAAACACAAAATTGTTTTCCTGGGTAATGTATTTGTATGAATAAATATAGGTAGGATTTGAAATAAAAATTGTATTTTATAATAATTGGAGTAGGTAATATTTTTGCAAAAAATTGAATACAATATAATGTTAAAATAAATAATTTGTAAAGTAAAATTGATGAACATTTTATTTAAATGCATAGGTACTAAGTGTCAACTAGATTAAAAACCAATAAGCTGCGAATAAATAAATTCCAATTAATAATTTGGTTAAAATACATTGTTTGGTTTGTTTACCTAACAGACTAAATAATTTACATATAAAAAACATTTCGTTAAATGTTAAAAATAAATAACAAAACTAATACTTACATATAAAAATTAAATAGGTCATTATTATTGATTAAAAAGTATCTTTTTACAATAACTTAAGCTTTCCAGCTATTTTATCTACATCGTCTTCTAACCCAAAAATTCCTAAAACTGTTGCTGAACCGGGAGCTATCTGTGTATGTCCAGCGTCGTGAACTAAATGGCAAACAATATTGTGAGATTTTGCTTTTTCATAAAGATTTACTAAGTGGTCTGTGTCATCTCCTTTTAGGACTATCTTTTTCTCTCTAAAATAAAAATTTATGAAAAATTAACATTGCTTTTTGGTAAATAGCTTTATTTCATCACTAAATAATTATAGTAATGTATAATTGACTAAAAATATACTAATAGTTATTTGGATTTTACATGTAATACCAAAACCGATTGCAGTTTCTTGTTCGGGACCCTACTTTTTTCGAATTTTTTTGAAAATTCATGATTTTTTTTACAATTTTTGTTTATCTTAAAGTCTACCTTTGACAGAGTACACATTTGTACACCTATTTTTATAATATTGGAGTATACCTATTGTTAAGGAGATTCGGAAAATACTTTTTATACTTTGCACATCATTTAATATATACAGGGTTAGCCAAAAATCGCTTCTTTTAATAAAGGAGAAGCGTTTGGCATAACACGCAAAAAAGATATATACCCACCCATGTTTTTTAGATATTTTTATGGAATTCTTATTAAGACTTTATAGGAAAAATTGATTTTGGATAAAATTAAATAAAATAACATTTTTTCGATATAAATCTTTTTTGTGCATTATGCTTTTTACTATATAAAAAAGTGATTTTTGGCTAACCCTATATAAATCTAATGATTAGCTCAGTATGAAAACAGTATTCTCCAAGTCTCGTTAGCAATATACTTCAATATTATAAAAATCGGTGGACAAATGTGTACTCTGTCAAAGGTAGACTTTGAAATAAACAAAAATTAAAAAAAATAAGACTTTTCAAAAAATTTCGAAGAGGAGCAGCTAGGATTTTGGTAAATATCATTTAAAAGTAACCAAAGGGTCCAGAACAAGAAACTGGAATCAATGAAAATCGGTGTACAAATGTGTACTCTGACAAAAGTAGACTTTGCGATAAACAAATAACCTTTATTTATTTTTCGTTCAAAATTGAAAACTACTAAAAAGACAATATTTTAATATTCTCTAATTCGTTATTTTATTTAATTTTATTAAAAATCTATTTTTTTTATAAAAGGTTAATAAGAATGCCATTTTGTAACCTGATAAACGTAGAAATATCTTAAAAAAATGGGGATAAATCTTTTTTGCGTGTTATGCCAAAATCGTAAATTTACGCTTTTGCTTTATTAAAAATAAGCGAATTTTGGCTAACCTGTATATATCAAATGATGTAAACAGTATTTAAAGTATTCTTTAAGTCTCCTCAATAATATACTCTAATTTTATAAAAATCGGTGTACAATTTAAATGTGTACTGTCAAAAGTAGACTTTGAAATAAACAAAAATTAAAAAAAAAATCATGAATTTTCAAAAAATTTCGAAAAGAGGAGCAGCTAGGATTTTGGTAAATATCATTTTTAAGTCACCAAAGGGTCTTGAACAAGAAACTGCAATCAGTTTTTGGCGGCATTTTTATGTGACTTAAACTTCGTTCAGGCACACCATGGGGTGTATTGAGGGCTGAGTGGAGGACCAGGGTGGTCCTCAACTCAGCCCCACTGGAAAATGTCTAAAGGTAACGACAATATAGATGCTAAAACTGCAGCTGAAGAAGTGAAAACCTTGTTTGTTTGTTAAATAAAAAGGGTTGAAATTGAGCAACCCCAGTGGTAGTTTAAATATACATAAATAAAGTGAACAAGCCTTAACTTTTTGACACGTTAAAGCATGGAGCCTACACAATGAGTGCGAAATTCATGTAAACAAGAATCTTTCTAAGATAAGAGGGCGCTGGTGTTTCGTTTGTTCTAAAACAACTGTTTAATTTGTAAGGAAAAGCTACCAAAAGAGCAGACTTCAGTACGCATCGACAATCAGCGCCGCTGTTGTGAAAAAAAATAAATTTGTTCAATTTAGAGGACAGGTCAATTTCCCCTATTAAGTTTGGGCTCCTTGTGTAGGCTCAATGCGTTAAAGTTTGATTATGTGTTATGTCATTAAGACTGTCAGTCAAAAACAAATATTAGCCATTTTGAAACTGTTGGTTTCAAGTTTTTTGAAAAAAAACGGCAGTTCTGAAAAGAACTGTTTTAATTACAACAAAAGGTTAAGGCTTTTTCACATCATTTTCGTATATTTGAACTACCACTGGGATTGGTCAATTTCAAACTTCTTTATTTACCAAACAAGAGGTTTTTCACTTCTTTCACTGCAGTTTTGTCACCTCTATTTTACCATTAGCCCTTTCCCGGTGGGGGCGAAAGTTAAGGACCACCCTGTATAATTTTAATATAAATATTTAAAAAAAAATCAACTTCTACAAGTATATTTTTAAAAATATAAGATGAAAAAGATACTCTTTAACATAAAAAACTTGCCTGAATAAAAAGTGCTTTTTACTTAAACTCAAAATGAAATAAAGCTATTTTATTTACAAAAAACCTAAAAGCTTTTTTGGCCCAAAAAATTGCATAGTATTAGGGTTTGCTTAAATTCATTCAGAGATTTAATTCGTTCACTAATTTAAAAGACTTTTTTTAAAGTCGTGAATACATTCAAACTTTTACTAATAGTTTAATTGCATTGAGAAACAGGTAAACAATCATGCTTTTTTATTTTTGAAGGCCTTCACTACAATTTAATATTTTTGCACAATTTAAGTAAAATAAATGACGCAATCTTATTGGCTTTCCAAGAAATACTATAACTCATTTTTGGAAATTTTTAAGAGAAGCAAACAGAAATTCTTCTTAGGATATCTCAAGGAATTCGTAAATAAATAAATAAATAATATTTGTTTATGCTTAAGTAAATGATACTTTGTACAACTATAAATTTCAACAGATTGTTTCTTACCCAATAGCCTCCCAATTTTGTATTAAATCTTCCATATTCTGTTCCATCATTTCTCTATAAAGTGCCAAGCAAGCATGAGCTACCTAAAACAATTAAACTAAGATGTAGTTCTATATGTCTCGATTGGCAAATTCTTGGATAAAAGCACAATCAATGGATTGTGGATAACAGTACCTGTGCAGCTATTTTGCCAATGCCCATTTTCAAGGAATGATTAACCACAAAAGTCATTTTATAATAATTACTTTCATCATCATCTGAAGAAATATGATCTTGCTGATCCACTTGATGTTCCTGAACATTTTGAGTTTTTGTCGGTAAAGGGCATAAATCTAAAGGGTCATTATCATCACTGAACACATAATTGATGGCCTCATCTAAAGATTTATTGCCTGTACAAAATAGGGCCTAAAATTTGATACAATTAAAACAAAAATGCTCTTTGGGGTAACAAATTTTGTACCTCTTCTGCAGCCGCCCTGGGTATACCCATGGAGGTGAGTTGTTGTAGAAAAATATCGTTAGGCTGAAAATTTTGACCTTCCGCACTCATTTTGAATTATTTAAACTTAATATTATAATAAACAAGTGTAGCATGGAACCTTGCACATAACCCTCCAAACCAAACTAGGTTAGGCAACTGTCAAAAAAGTAAGGTTATGTTTTGTTGTAATGTTTATACAAGAATACAGTATAGAGTTCTTGTGTTTATACCTCATCAAAAAAATATAAATATGGATAAAATACTAAAGAGAAAGTCGATTGAAGAAGACAATATTAAACAGAAGAGAATTAAATGCCGTGAGTCTGACAAGGATAATTCAAAGAAAAGAAAACATAAGAAAAAAAAATCCTCATCTTCCTCATCCACATCATCGTCTTCCAGCGATTCTTCCAGTACAGATTCTGAAGAAGAAAGAAGACGGATTGAAAAAAAGAAATTAAAGAAAAAACTCAAAAAAGAAAAGAAAAAGGCAAAGAAAGGAAACCGCAAATGTTCTGATAAAACTGAAGATGTGAATACAGATATTCCATTAAATTTAATGGATAAATGCACCAATCGTGCACCAATAACCAAAGAGGAATGGGAAAAACAACAAAGTGTTGTTAGAAGGGTTTACGATGAAACTACAGGAAGACACAGGTAAATTCTGAACTATTTTTAAATTTAGTAGGTATTAAAAAAAATTTCTTTAGACTCATAAAGGGAGATGGGGAAGTAATAGAAGAAATAGTAAGCAGGGATCGTCACAAAGCTATAAATCAGCAGGCCACTAAAGGGGATGGAGAATTTTTTCAAAATCAATTGGCAAAATTAAAAAAATAAAATAAATTCTTTAAAAATAAGGGAATTATTATCATTTTCGGTAAATTAAACAAATCATTTTTTTAAGGAAATATATTTTTCTAATTTAAAATTTATATACAAATAGATATTAAAACAAACAAGTAACTAACCATTTTTTTTTCAACCTGCATTAATCCTTTTAATGCAAACTGTGTAATAACTTATTTTTATTTAGTTCATGCATGAATAAAATATAAAATATTCATATACAATTAGATAAACCCTCTATTTACAAAAATATAAAGGATGTTCCAAAGTCACTGGACTAAGAAATTCGCAAAATTGCAGAAGTTATTTCATTTTTAAAGCGCACTGTTGCTGCTCTATTGGACGAGTTTTTGATATATTTTTGTGTTTGCAAAAGACGCTAATATTTAATCATTTAGAAAAAGAAAACAAAAACAAATTCGCTGCGTGTTGTCTATAGATATCTAGGGTGTTGTCGCAGGCGCCGAGTAAAAAGCGGGGCTCGCCCTATAGAGCAACAATGCGCTTTCATTGGAGGCATTAAAAATAACTTCTGCAATTTTGCGAATTCGTCCGGTGACATTGGGACACCCTGTATATTAGGGTGCTTCAAAAAATAAAATTTAATTTTTTTTTTGCTCTTACCCTCCCAAATGTTTCTATTTAATATAAAAAAAATCCTCACCAAATATGGGCGTCTCAGCTCAACTCTAAGAGGTCGCTGTTTTTATTTTAGTTTCCCATTTAATTAACATGGGAAAAAATAATTTTATGTTTGGAATTTTATACCTCTGTATATAAATTGAGTTATTCGAGGTCAAAGTTTGTCCCCGCGCTGCCTTGATTTGCCCCCTTTTACCTCCCGTCTGCTAATTGTACCACAAAATTAAAAAAACCAGAAAATTTCACCTCGAATAACTCTAGAAGAAATCAATTTATCGAAAAATAATAGACCTTTTTTGTAGAGCGATACATTTTATATAAGAAACTGCAATGATCATTGCCATGTTACTTTGATACAGAGGTATAAAATTCCAAACATAAAATTATTTTTTCCCATGTTAATTAAATGGGAAACTAAAATAAAAACAGCGACCTCTTAGAGTTAAGCTGGAACGCCCATATTTGGTGAGGATTTTTTTTTATATTAAATAGAAACAATTGAGAGGGTAAGAGCGAAAATAAAAATTAAATTTTATTTTTTGAAGCACCCTACTGTATATACATATATATTTTATTTAAAGAGGGTTTATTTAATTATAATATCTAATTTTGCGAATTTCAAAAAATTAGGTTTTGTGATTTTGGGACTCCCTCCAAGTATGTAGGTATAAACTAATCGTATATGATTATAATAATAATATATATACAAAATTGGACCTAAAAAATATAACATTGTAAGCCATAAAATGTTATTATGCATGTAGGCATGTTTATCTTAATAAAAAATAAGTTAAGACACTGAATTACCTTACTTACAATGTACAGACAATAAAATTGCAAATGGTATGTATAATTGGATTTAGCCTTAAATAATAAAAAAATGAAAATAATCAGTCTAAATGTAAACAATTTAAATTTACATTAATTAATAAAAAATTACTGTAAATTACACTGTGTTATGGTTATATGTGTATAAAATGCCAAATAAACTCCATGTAAAAATAACTGCTTATTAAATGTTGGTAAACATTACTTAAAGCAATTTGAAATTTTTTTAGAAATTGAGATTATAGTTGCAAGATTTGTATTAAATTCAGTTTTTTATTGAAATAATAATTTTGTATGAGCCCTATTAAACTGGAAAAATGTAAAACACTATTCCAACTCAAATCATTAAAATTCTGACTTGGTAACTTTTCGCAGTAAATTCAAAATATATTAAAGAAATTATGTTTCAAATTTTAAATTATTTCATAATCTTTATGTCACCAAAATGAATCATATCTTTACTTTCTACAATGAACTGTTAAACAAAGCCCATTCAATAACAAAATAGCAAATTTCATATCACAAGGTCACAATAATTTGAAGATTAAATCTTTTCTGATATAAATATTTTTAAAACTACATAATTAGTATAACAATATATTAATATATCCATAAAAATTTAAGGTTGTTTAGTATATTTGTAAAAAATGAGAAGTACATCCATCTCTCCATGAGGGATCGTCAACTATTTTGGCTCTGCAAAGTGGGCAAGTCTGTTCTCTATCAAACCAAGTTGTCACGCAACTCTCGCAGAATATGTGGCGACATTGCAACAAAACTGGAGAATCGTATTCGTCATGACAAATTGGACAGTGCTCACCTGCACTTTGAATTTGGTCCTTGCTTGGGGAAGAACCAATTGTCTAAAAAATGTTATATTAATTAGGTTTATTAAATTTATTCATATGCTTTATTATTAATTATTTAATACTCATTATAGAAAAACAAATTACTAGTTATTATTAGTATATAACAAAAATGGTTTAATCGCGACAATTTATAATAAATATTATATTAACATTCTACAAGGTGTCCGAAAATGGGACAATAACGCTTTTTAAGTTTAAATAAAATTACAATTTTTTTCACAAATACTAAGGTTAGGTTGTAAAAATTGAATTTTATTTTTTGTGTTATAAAACTACACTGGCGAAAGTAACTAACCAAGTAATTAACGCATCACCATAAATTTATCATTATTTTGTTGTTAAAAATTTACCGAACAAATCATTCGATTTTAATGATCTTTTTTTTTATTGTAGTTTTAATATGACTTTAGTTCTTTTATAGTATTAGGGTTTGCTTAAATTCATTCAGAGATTTAATTCGTTCACTAATTTAAAAGACTTTTTTTAAAGTCGTGAATACATTCAAACTTTTACTAATAGTTTAATTGCATTGAGAAACAGGTAAACAATCATGCTTTTTTATTTTTGAAGGCCTTCACTACAATTTAATATTTTTGCACAATTTAAGTAAAATAAATGACGCAATCTTATTGGCTTTCCAAGAAATACTATAACTCATTTTTGGAAATTTTTAAGAGAAGCAAACAGAAATTCTTCTTAGGATATCTCAAGGAATTCGTAAATAAATAAATAAATAATATTTGTTTATGCTTAAGTAAATGATACTTTGTACAACTATAAATTTCAACAGATTGTTTCTTACCCAATAGCCTCCCAATTTTGTATTAAATCTTCCATATTCTGTTCCATCATTTCTCTATAAAGTGCCAAGCAAGCATGAGCTACCTAAAACAATTAAACTAAGATGTAGTTCTATATGTCTCGATTGGCAAATTCTTGGATAAAAGCACAATCAATGGATTGTGGATAACAGTACCTGTGCAGCTATTTTGCCAATGCCCATTTTCAAGGAATGATTAACCACAAAAGTCATTTTATAATAATTACTTTCATCATCATCTGAAGAAATATGATCTTGCTGATCCACTTGATGTTCCTGAACATTTTGAGTTTTTGTCGGTAAAGGGCATAAATCTAAAGGGTCATTATCATCACTGAACACATAATTGATGGCCTCATCTAAAGATTTATTGCCTGTACAAAATAGGGCCTAAAATTTGATACAATTAAAACAAAAATGCTCTTTGGGGTAACAAATTTTGTACCTCTTCTGCAGCCGCCCTGGGTATACCCATGGAGGTGAGTTGTTGTAGAAAAATATCGTTAGGCTGAAAATTTTGACCTTCCGCACTCATTTTGAATTATTTAAACTTAATATTATAATAAACAAGTGTAGCATGGAACCTTGCACATAACCCTCCAAACCAAACTAGGTTAGGCAACTGTCAAAAAAGTAAGGTTATGTTTTGTTGTAATGTTTATACAAGAATACAGTATAGAGTTCTTGTGTTTATACCTCATCAAAAAAATATAAATATGGATAAAATACTAAAGAGAAAGTCGATTGAAGAAGACAATATTAAACAGAAGAGAATTAAATGCCGTGAGTCTGACAAGGATAATTCAAAGAAAAGAAAACATAAGAAAAAAAAATCCTCATCTTCCTCATCCACATCATCGTCTTCCAGCGATTCTTCCAGTACAGATTCTGAAGAAGAAAGAAGACGGATTGAAAAAAAGAAATTAAAGAAAAAACTCAAAAAAGAAAAGAAAAAGGCAAAGAAAGGAAACCGCAAATGTTCTGATAAAACTGAAGATGTGAATACAGATATTCCATTAAATTTAATGGATAAATGCACCAATCGTGCACCAATAACCAAAGAGGAATGGGAAAAACAACAAAGTGTTGTTAGAAGGGTTTACGATGAAACTACAGGAAGACACAGGTAAATTCTGAACTATTTTTAAATTTAGTAGGTATTAAAAAAAATTTCTTTAGACTCATAAAGGGAGATGGGGAAGTAATAGAAGAAATAGTAAGCAGGGATCGTCACAAAGCTATAAATCAGCAGGCCACTAAAGGGGATGGAGAATTTTTTCAAAATCAATTGGCAAAATTAAAAAAATAAAATAAATTCTTTAAAAATAAGGGAATTATTATCATTTTCGGTAAATTAAACAAATCATTTTTTTAAGGAAATATATTTTTCTAATTTAAAATTTATATACAAATAGATATTAAAACAAACAAGTAACTAACCATTTTTTTTTCAACCTGCATTAATCCTTTTAATGCAAACTGTGTAATAACTTATTTTTATTTAGTTCATGCATGAATAAAATATAAAATATTCATATACAATTAGATAAACCCTCTATTTACAAAAATATAAAGGATGTTCCAAAGTCACTGGACTAAGAAATTCGCAAAATTGCAGAAGTTATTTCATTTTTAAAGCGCACTGTTGCTGCTCTATTGGACGAGTTTTTGATATATTTTTGTGTTTGCAAAAGACGCTAATATTTAATCATTTAGAAAAAGAAAACAAAAACAAATTCGCTGCGTGTTGTCTATAGATATCTAGGGTGTTGTCGCAGGCGCCGAGTAAAAAGCGGGGCTCGCCCTATAGAGCAACAATGCGCTTTCATTGGAGGCATTAAAAATAACTTCTGCAATTTTGCGAATTCGTCCGGTGACATTGGGACACCCTGTATATTAGGGTGCTTCAAAAAATAAAATTTAATTTTTTTTTTGCTCTTACCCTCCCAAATGTTTCTATTTAATATAAAAAAAATCCTCACCAAATATGGGCGTCTCAGCTCAACTCTAAGAGGTCGCTGTTTTTATTTTAGTTTCCCATTTAATTAACATGGGAAAAAATAATTTTATGTTTGGAATTTTATACCTCTGTATATAAATTGAGTTATTCGAGGTCAAAGTTTGTCCCCGCGCTGCCTTGATTTGCCCCCTTTTACCTCCCGTCTGCTAATTGTACCACAAAATTAAAAAAACCAGAAAATTTCACCTCGAATAACTCTAGAAGAAATCAATTTATCGAAAAATAATAGACCTTTTTTGTAGAGCGATACATTTTATATAAGAAACTGCAATGATCATTGCCATGTTACTTTGATACAGAGGTATAAAATTCCAAACATAAAATTATTTTTTCCCATGTTAATTAAATGGGAAACTAAAATAAAAACAGCGACCTCTTAGAGTTAAGCTGGAACGCCCATATTTGGTGAGGATTTTTTTTTATATTAAATAGAAACAATTGAGAGGGTAAGAGCGAAAATAAAAATTAAATTTTATTTTTTGAAGCACCCTACTGTATATACATATATATTTTATTTAAAGAGGGTTTATTTAATTATAATATCTAATTTTGCGAATTTCAAAAAATTAGGTTTTGTGATTTTGGGACTCCCTCCAAGTATGTAGGTATAAACTAATCGTATATGATTATAATAATAATATATATACAAAATTGGACCTAAAAAATATAACATTGTAAGCCATAAAATGTTATTATGCATGTAGGCATGTTTATCTTAATAAAAAATAAGTTAAGACACTGAATTACCTTACTTACAATGTACAGACAATAAAATTGCAAATGGTATGTATAATTGGATTTAGCCTTAAATAATAAAAAAATGAAAATAATCAGTCTAAATGTAAACAATTTAAATTTACATTAATTAATAAAAAATTACTGTAAATTACACTGTGTTATGGTTATATGTGTATAAAATGCCAAATAAACTCCATGTAAAAATAACTGCTTATTAAATGTTGGTAAACATTACTTAAAGCAATTTGAAATTTTTTTAGAAATTGAGATTATAGTTGCAAGATTTGTATTAAATTCAGTTTTTTATTGAAATAATAATTTTGTATGAGCCCTATTAAACTGGAAAAATGTAAAACACTATTCCAACTCAAATCATTAAAATTCTGACTTGGTAACTTTTCGCAGTAAATTCAAAATATATTAAAGAAATTATGTTTCAAATTTTAAATTATTTCATAATCTTTATGTCACCAAAATGAATCATATCTTTACTTTCTACAATGAACTGTTAAACAAAGCCCATTCAATAACAAAATAGCAAATTTCATATCACAAGGTCACAATAATTTGAAGATTAAATCTTTTCTGATATAAATATTTTTAAAACTACATAATTAGTATAACAATATATTAATATATCCATAAAAATTTAAGGTTGTTTAGTATATTTGTAAAAAATGAGAAGTACATCCATCTCTCCATGAGGGATCGTCAACTATTTTGGCTCTGCAAAGTGGGCAAGTCTGTTCTCTATCAAACCAAGTTGTCACGCAACTCTCGCAGAATATGTGGCGACATTGCAACAAAACTGGAGAATCGTATTCGTCATGACAAATTGGACAGTGCTCACCTGCACTTTGAATTTGGTCCTTGCTTGGGGAAGAACCAATTGTCTAAAAAATGTTATATTAATTAGGTTTATTAAATTTATTCATATGCTTTATTATTAATTATTTAATACTCATTATAGAAAAACAAATTACTAGTTATTATTAGTATATAACAAAAATGGTTTAATCGCGACAATTTATAATAAATATTATATTAACATTCTACAAGGTGTCCGAAAATGGGACAATAACGCTTTTTAAGTTTAAATAAAATTACAATTTTTTTCACAAATACTAAGGTTAGGTTGTAAAAATTGAATTTTATTTTTTGTGTTATAAAACTACACTGGCGAAAGTAACTAACCAAGTAATTAACGCATCACCATAAATTTATCATTATTTTGTTGTTAAAAATTTACCGAACAAATCATTCGATTTTAATGATCTTTTTTTTTATTGTAGTTTTAATATGACTTTAGTTCTTTTATAAATCTTTGTTTCATTTATATACGGGGTGTTATACTGATGATAAAATTAGCAGTAATAGCAAATCCTAAAATGGATTAAACCATATACTTATCTATTCTTACTATTCTCTTTTTTGTCTCACCTTTTTATCTCTTTGATATAAATAACACTGCATGTTTTATTTATACACATTAAGCCGGGTCTACAATTGTCGCAGGGGTCCGATCGCAGAACATAAGCTTGCGCAAAGCACCCTGCGACGTGGCGATAAAGCAAGGTTCTTTTGTCAGCTGGGTGCTTTGCGCAAGCTTATGTAATGCGATCTGCGTCCTGCGACAATTGTAGACCCGGCTTTAAAGAAAACAGGCTATTACGTCTTGGCAAAATTATGACATTTTAAATAAAATGTCAATATTATTTAACCCCACAGATTATAAAGAACCCTTAGTTAGGCGCGCGGGGTGCCCACGATCCCAGCATATTTGTATTTTACTGTATCTTGCTTATAAAACCCCCTACAGGTCTTATGTATTCCTTTAAAAGTTTGAAAGTTTTGTTTTACATTTATCAGCGTTTGTCAATTTTTTGTAGTATATCTTTTAAAAAAATATATGCTCATTTGCACCCCACGCGACCAATGGTGCAACTCGAAATTGCTACAATAATTTCTTTAATTTTTATATTTTCTTTTGTTATAGTGGTCAATAAAATATTACATTATAAAGTTATATATATTTTTTCCAAGACACCCTAAAGCAAAACTGGATGAGTCTACATAAACAGGAAGACCAGAGCCTTAACTTAATAGAGGTGCTATTATTGTCAAAAAAAATGGGACAAGAAAACTATAAAAAGTTGTAAAAGTTGTGCAAAACTCATTTGCGATCTTTACTTTAGCTTATTTTTTTGTCGAATGTGGTAAATAATGACTTAGTTAAATATTCACTAAAATATATTTCTCTTGTTAATTTTGTAATTGGAAAATCTGTTGTTCTTTGATAAAAGTAATATTAATCTATATTAAGACATCATATTTTGCAAAAGTATTTCTGAAGGTCCAAACAAAGTAATCCGGCACAGGAAATTAAAAAAAAATACAAATTAATAAAAAAATTACCACATGATCAGGGTTAACTTAAGGTTTAACACATTTAACAATTAATATAATGAACAAAATTTTCTACTGTATTAACGCAACACATGCAGTAAATATTGCTTAATGTTTCCTCCTCTTGCACGAATTACAGGCTATTTCAACTTCAATATTTTCCCAAATTTGTTGTAGCCTTTTTTCCAGTTCTTGTCGATTAATGTATTGACGAGGAAGTTCTCTTAACCATTTGCCCATAATATCCCAGATATTTTCTATTGGATTAAGATCCGGACTTCTGGCTGGCCAACGCATTGTGGGAATATTAAACTCGGCAATATATTGTTGTACAATCCTGGCCGTATGCGGTCTAGTATTATCATGCATACAATAAAAATTCTCACCGACAAAAGGTGCAAAAGGCATTAAGATAGGTTCAACAATTTTTTCAGTGTAAGAAGCTGCAGTGATACTTTCTGGGATTACCATCAACTCCGTGTGAGCCTCTGCAGTGATGCCTCCCCACGACATACTAGATGGCGACTCAACTAAGAACCTAAGGTTTTACCATTTATTCTATAAGAACTTAACTTTTAACAACAAATTATAAGATAACGAAAACCCAAGGAGAGTCTTCTACCCTCCTTAACGAAAATTACATCTTTTTTTACAGCATTATTATCATTATTTTAATAATTTGCAAAACGATTGGCAATACTGTAGTATTGCCAACTGCTCTGCCAAAATGCACAGTCGCCACAAACGCACAAAAGTGACGTTGAAATGGTTTTATTTGAATTTTAATTAAGCTTAGTGGTCTATTCTTTGAAGTTAATCAATGCAATTTTACTAAAAATGAAAAAAGTTTGTTGTGCACCGGGATTTAAAAAAATAAATAGGTTCTTATTTTTTGCGCCATCTAAAGGGTGTCCAAATTTGACCTTCCGATTTAATTTAATAATAAAAAACAAAAAACTATTGATATATTATTATTTTATGATTTTATTTTTAAGTTTAAATGTTGCGGTTAATAATAAAAAATGATATCCGGCAAGTGACCCCCTCTACTTCTTTGGCATGCTAACATTCTTTTTCCAAAATGTTCGATAACCTTTTCGCAGATATTCTGTTCAATTTCTAAAATTTGTTGAATAATGTTAACT